AAAGCAACAGGGGCAGGGCTACCCCCAAGCAAGGCAGGGTGGCTCCGAGCCAAAGCGCCAGGCTAGAGAGCTCAGCCGGGCTCCAGGCTCTGGATCTCCATGGCAACTGGAGCAGGTGTAACATAGAGCCCCCCCACCTGCAGCCAAGGCCGGGCCTAGCTCACCTGCTCCTTCCTGCCTTCACTAGTCAGAGCTCCCTTCAGCCTGCCAGCTGCTCGGGCCAGGACGCTCAGGCAGCGCGTCTGCAAAGAACTGAGAACGCCTCGGGCCTGGTGCACACATGACGGAGCAGCCCCTCGTGTGCACCAGCCAGACCCTGGCGCTCAGGCGTGACTCAGCCCTGCCAGACGTGGGTCCCGTGTGCTGCGGGCCGTGGTCTGGGCTGCAGGGGCTTTCAGGATGCTTGTGCTTGATTCCCAGTGACCAGGATGGGGGAGAGGTTCACGCCGGGAGGAGACCGGGCACTCGTGGTTAAGGTGCTGCATTGGGAACCACAGCCTCTGTGCCAGCAGCCGGATCCCTGGGTCCCCAGCCCTGAGCCAGTCACCTGGTTTCCAGGCCCTTTGCTCTTGTTTCCAGTCCTTTTCTCTGAGAAGAGCTGGACGACTCGTTCCTCCTCAGCTCCGCTTTATTATCCCTTTTATGACCCCTGGCAGGGCCGGGCTGCTTGGCAGCGTTGCCCAGCTGGGCTGGTGTTTATATACCGCCGGAGTCCCGCTGTTGTGAGCAATGTGTGTGTGTTTTTCCAGCTCCCCCTGCTCTGCCCTGTATTTACCTTTGGATGTTGACAGTGGGGGCCGGAGCATCTGGGCCTGCCCGAATCACAGGGATAACGAACGAACGAACGTTCCCTCCTGCGGGGGTGTTTGCCCGGCGAAAGGGGGCTGGGGATTGAGCAAAACATTGTGGCAGGAGAGCCTGGGCTTTCTCTGGGCCTTCAGGGCCCATTCCTTCTGCCTTCATTGCAGGGAATCCCTCAAGCAGCAATGTCCCCCAGGGTGCAGCAAACAGCCTGGTCGGTTTGCCTTCGCCCAGCTGTGCTGTGTGCCCTGCTACCTCCCATGGGCGGCGGGTAACAGGGGCAATGCCAGGGGGTGGCCCCGCCCCTTAGCTTGGCCGGCTGAGGCTCTGGCTGGGGTGTGGCCGACCAGTGCTCCAGGAAGGCTGGGACCACAGTGCAGCTGCTCCTGGGGCAGGGCTGCGGAGCTGGGGACAGGGCTGTGGTGTGGACACTCCTGTGGGCAGGGGGTCAGTTCCTGCAGCCATATGGGGGGCAGGCCGGGGTGGGGCTGGGCCTTGCCTCCCCAAGCTGGGCCTTCACCCGCCGCCCAAGCTACCTACTTAGGTCAGAAATCTGATTTCTGGGGGCAGAGCCTGGCTCCCTCCACTGATAATGGGGGGATGCGGGCACCTCAGTAGGTTTCCCAGTTGCTCCTGTGGGTGAGTGCCTGCCCGGCCTGAGCCATATGGGGGGCAGGCCGGGGTGGGGCTGGGCCTTGCCTCCCCAAGCTGGGCCTTCACCCGCCGCCCAAGCTACCTACTTAGGTCAGAAATCTGATTTCTGGGGGCAGAGCCTGGCTCCCTCCACTGATAATGGGGGGATGCGGGCACCTCAGTAGGTTTCCCAGTTGCTCCTGTGGGTGAGTGCCTGCCCGGCCTGGCTGTATCGCCAGCCCTGCTCCCGTCTCACGGGGGAGAAAGAAAATTCAAATTCTTTGTAGCCGTTGCACCTTTTCCCATTGAGGGGGACTGCCACCCCCCCCCCCCCCT